ATTCTAATGTAAACACATTCGTCTCTTTATTCACTCTAACAAGAGGCTGAGTGTCTTTTCTCTGTGAGGTAGGAGGTGACCGGTGTGCTGAGTGGAGGTGGGTGGATGGGGAACTTGGAAGTCCCCAGGGAGGAGCCCAGGGTGTTTGAAGTCCCCCAGGAGAGAGAATCTACACCCCCTCTTTGGATATTCTGTCTGTTCTCCTGAGCCTGAGGAGCCATGTTTGTGTTTTGGTGGCAGAATAATGTTTTTTTTTTTTTCTTGTTTTGTTGGTTGTGGGGCTTGAACTCTGGGCTTGGGCACTGTCCCTCAGCTCAAGGCGAGCGCTCTACCACTTGAGCCACGCACCACTTCTGGTTTTCTGGTGGTTCATTGGAGATAAGAGTCTCATGGACTTTCCTACCCGGGTTGGCTTTGAACTGTGGTCCTCCGATCTCAGCCTCCTGAGTAGCTAGGATGACAGGCATGAGCCACGGGTGCCTGGCTTGAGATATAGTGTTTTCTGTTCTCTCCCTGGGGTGACCAAACTGGAGCTGGCCCTGGGCCTGGCCTTGAGAAGAACTGACGGGACCACAAGATAGCCTCATATCTACTTGGGGGAGTGTGGGAGCCTCCTGGCAGAGGTGGAGCCCAGGCCGCCAAGGCCACAGGCGGCCACTCCTGCAGATGGGCCAGCCCTGTGGTTAGCACGGTCCACGTGGAGAGGATGGGGGATGGTGCTGGGCACTGTTTGGAGGCGGGGGGGGGGTTGGGGAGGGGAGGGAAACCATGGCAGGCTGCACTTACATCCCGGCACGCTGTCCTTTCCTGTCTCTTTCTGTCTGGACCTTTCTCTAACTCACCTTCTCCTGACAGCCTGACCTCCTGCTTGGATCAGCCAGCCAGTGTGGGTGGAGGTGAGCCCCTCTCTTCCCTGCCCAATGAGGGTGATCCGTCTCTCTCCCTCCCGCCTTTCCTGCCAGTGTCAGCCAATCCCTGTGGCCTTTCATTCTTGCTTTGTTGTTGTTGCTGGTACTGGGGCTTGAACTGAAGACCTGAGCTTTTTTCATTCACTACCTCTTGAGCCACAGTTCCACTTTCAGTTTTTGGTGCTTGATTGGCGGGAAAAATCTCACCAACTTTCCTGCCCAGGCTGGCTTCGAACTGCAATCCTCCAAGCTCAGCCTCTTGAATAGTTAGAATTACAGGTGTGAGCCACCAGTGCCTGACTCAATGTTACTATCTTATTTTTTTCTCTCTCTTTCTTTTTGGGTATCATCATCTCCCTCCCTCCCTCCTGCCTTCCCTCCTTCCTCTCCCTTCCTTTCTTCCTTCCCTTCTTCCTTCCTTCCTCAAACACAGGGTTTTGGCTCTGTGTCAGGGATGCAGAATTGTCAAAGGCACCCTCCCTGTTGGAGCTCAGCTTCGGCCTGGGAGGCAGCAGTGTGCAGGAAGGGGGCCACAGGAGGGAGGGCAAATCTGAGGCAAATCTGGGAAGCCCCCACAGAGGAGGTGGCAGGGACTAGGGCTTCAAAGTGGACCTGGAAGTCCCCTGGAATAGAAGCATGGAAGGGATTCCAGGTAGAGCAGAGGCTGCGGTGCTCAGTGAGCTGCATGGAAGGGGGTGGCAGGTGGCGAGGGTAATGAGCAGGAAGGTCAGAGAGGCCAGCAGGGGAGTGGCAGCTGCAAGACCTGTCACTGGGAGAAGTGGGAGGGGATCTGGAGCCCCAGGTGGCTCAGACCAGTATGGAAGGGCCAGGCTTTGGGCACGGGTGACGGGAAGACATTACCAGCATCCAGGAAAGTGACTACAATAGTCCAGGATTTCCTGGTGTGGCGAGAATGGGATGAAGGGCTGGGAAGGTGGCTTAGTGGTAGAGTGCTTGTCTAGCATGCACAAAGCCCTGGGTTTGGTTCCTCTGTCCCATATACACAGAAAAATCTGGAAGTGGCACTGTGGCTCAAGTGGTAGAGTGCTAGCCTGGAGCCAAAGAAACTCAGGGACAGTGCCCAGGCCCCTGAATTCAAGCCCCAGGATTGGAAAAATAAATAAAGGAATGGGCTGAAGCCTTGAAGGCTTGAACTCAGGGCCTTGTACTCTTGCTTAGCTTTTTCACTCAAGACTGGCTCTCTACTTGAACCATAGCTCCATTTCTGGCTTTTAGGTAGGCGATTAGAGATAAGAGTCTCACTGTCTTCCTTGCCTGGACTGGATTTGAGCTGTGATCCTCAGATCTCAGCCTCCTAAGTAGCTAGGCTTCTAGGCCAACCTTGGCCTGTGTCACTAATTCTGGCACCTGGCTTGTCTTTCAGTTTGGAGATGGCCTTGGACTTGTAATACTCTTGCCTCCATTTCCTGAGTAGCTGGGATTATGGTCATATATCACCATGCCAGGATTTCTCTGGAATTTTTGGTTTGTTTTTTGGCCCGGCTTGGGGCTTGAACTCAGGGCTTGGTTGTTGTCCTTGAGCTGTTTTTGCTCAAGGCCAATGCTCTACCACTTGAACCACAGCTCTACTTCTGGCTTTTTTTTTTTTGGGTAGGTCAGTGGAGATAAGAGTCTTACAAACTTTTCTGCCTGATCTGGCTTTGAACCATGATCCTCAGATCTCAGCCTTCTTAGTAACTAGGATGACAGGTGTGAGCCAGTGACACCTGGCTCTCCGGAGGTTTTTTTTTTTTGTCGGTCGTGGGGCTTGAACTCTGGGCCTGGGCGCTGTCCCTCAGCTCTTCAGCTCAAAGTGAGCGCTCTACCACTTGAGCTACAGCGCCACTTCCAGTTTTCTGGTGGTTTATTGGAGATAGGAGTCTCATGGTCTCTCCTGCCCGGGCTGGCTTTGAACCGAGATCCTAAGATCTCAGCCTCCTGAGTAGCTAGGATTACAGGTGTGAGCCACCAGTGCCCGGCTTCCGGAGGTTTTTTTTGTTGTTGGTCATGGGGCTTGAACTCTGGGCTGGGTGCTGTCCCTCAGCTCTTCAGCTCAAGGCAAGCACTCTACCACTTGAGCCACTGTACCAATTCCAGATACTGGTGGTGCAAGACTGAGTGAGTGGTTTATTGGAGATCAGAGTCTCACAGATGGCTGGGAAGGTGGCTCAGTGGTAGAGAGCTTGCCTTGCATACATGAGGACCTGGTTCAATTCCTCAGCACCACATAAGCAGAAAAAACCGAAGTGGTGCTGTGGTTCAAGTGGTAGAGCACTAGCCTTGAGCTGAAGAGCTGAGGAACAGCGCCCAGGCCCAGAGTTCAGGCCCCACGATGGACC